GAACAATTCTGAACAGAATTCATCTAACACCCACCAGCTCAACTTTCTCCTAGCTCCCCCATCTCTGAGAAAAAAAGATTCTTAATAACTTTAGGAAGAAAGGAGTTATTTTAAAGTTGCAGAAGAGACTGAGAGAAGGGACCTGCTCTGAGGTCACACACTGGGCTCCTCGCCAAGTCCAGATACTTGTGCATCTAAAGACAACCATTCCCAAAGCTCTTCAGAACAACAGGATCTGAAAGATATTTATGAGACTACACCTATCCTGTTCCACGCAGAACATACTCCAAAGTGACGTGTTTGTTATCTTCAGCACTTTAGTAAATCATGTTGCCCAACAGTCATGGGAGTGACCTGTTTACCTATATATACACATACATTTAAGTTTGCATGTATGTAAGAATCAAAACCAAAAAATAATCAATCTACAATGCATTAAGGGTAAAATACACCCAAAAGTAATTAGTTTTATAAAAAGTAATGAAAGCTAAAGGTAATCTTGAGACAGCAAAGCAGAACCAACTTTAAAGCACAAACAAAATAATTACATAAAAGATATGGTATACAGTCCTGAGTCAAAAATGGAAAGAAAAATAGATCTATGACAAGGACAAATTGTTGCTAACTCAAGAGAAAAAGGATGCTTTAATCAATTTTGTATGAGGATAAAGATAAATCCCTACAAACAAATAAGAGGCTACGTATCTTAAGGATGTATCCCTCCTTCAAGCAGAAATGGAAGAGGGAGTTTGTGTGTAGCTCCACTGTAGAACAGATACTATAAATAAAAAGAAAATAAGCTGAAAGCAAATTAGCCATGGAACTTTATATATACGCTATTACTAATTTACAAATTTGTTTTAACTCTTACACTAGTGTGCTTTTAAAGAAATAGATACCCTGTGCATTAAAAAGGAAACAAAAATCTCTTCCACCTAAAAGTGAAAAGATGACTGCACTCATCAAAGACATATTAGCTACTGGCACAAGCCTCAAGATCAGCAGAGATTTACTGTAGTTAAACAAATTGCAAACATCAAGAAAAAAAACTTGATCTCCCATGTAGAACAAAACCCCAAACTTAGGTATCTTATTCTTTCTTGATGCATAAAAAGTTTTAATCAAATGGAATAAGAATATTTGTTCTAGAAAAAGGACATCTTGAAGAGTAAGATGAAAACTTGTTTTTCTTCTTGTGTATTGGGAGCTTACAATTTCTGAACTAAGAACTAAGCAGGAGCATCCTGCTACTGGTGCTGTTTGCCCTGTGAACCTTCTGATTGTGCATTTAGGTAAAACCCATTTACCAAAGGCTAACTTCTAACATAAACATGATTTTAATAGAGGAATGGATAAATAGGATGACTAATCAAGTAAAGGCTTAGAAAAGAGACTTGAAACAATGGAAAGATAAACACATATGTAAGGTAAACAACTCATTTTACACAAAGACCTTTTATAAAGTACTTTTATCCTTCATAAAATACCTGTGAGGTAGTACTTATCTCTAGCTAAGACCTGTGTCTAACAGTTACGCATCGTGATAAAGATGATACAGAGAGGAGGAGGCTTCTCTTCATTTATGAGGCAGTCACTCCCAGAGCTCCCAGACTTATGGACAGGTGTCCAGATACAATAACCTTTGTGGCAGGTATTTTAAATAAAGTTCAGTTTGAGCAGAATGAAGAATGATGCCCTTCTTACTAGGTGTTCTATCACTAACATATGAAGGACTTATCTGACACCTACACTGAAAATGTGAATTAGAATACAAGGCATACTATACCATTTGAATCATAGCATACTTGAGGTTGGAAGGGACCTCTGGAGATCATCGAGTCTAATGCCTCTGCTCAAAGCAGGGTCAGCTACAGCAACTTCCTCAGGATTGTGTCCAGTCATGTTTTGTGCATCTCCAAAGATGCAGACTCCACAGTGGCTCAGGGCCACCTGTTCCAGCACACAGTAAAAAAGTTTAATGTTTTTTATTTCCTGTATTTCATTTTGCGCCCGTTGACTCCTGTCCTTCCACTGTGCACCACCAAGAAGAGAGCCTGACTCCATCCCCACTCCTTCCTGTCAGGTATTTATACACATTACTGAAATCCCCCCAGCCTTCTCAGATATAAATATCCCAGATCTCTCTGCCTCTCCTTGTATGACAGATGCTGCAATCACCTCTAATTGCTAAATTGTACGCAGGACAAGGAAAAATTGTCACGATATGGACTCATTACACAGCACAGAAGTTCATCAGCTGAAAAGCCTGAGACTAGTCACATTCCTTGCATATGAAATACTACTACTAAGTTGACAAGGCATAAAAAACCCAAACCCTTGTGCATGTACACGTGCACACATCACTACACAGACAGATAGAAAGTAGATGTGACTCATCTTGTAATAATAGTTGCATTTATTTTTTTAACGTTATAACAACTTCAACCTTGTATCTTGGAAATTGTTACTGGAAAAAAACTTTAAGCCAACTGAGAATGTTTTTATACAACATGAGCCTTATCAAGTTAGGCTTCATTTGTACTTAACTAATAAAATGATACTTAGTATAACTCCAAATCATTCAAGCTACTACAACATAACTACTTCTTGATTCAAATTTGGGCTGCGGGGAATTAGCACAAGACACAATTAAGTGCACTACAAATCTGTTCACAATAAAAAGGAGACATTGAATAGTCCTGACAGTTGTCAACATTTTTGAACATGGTTGCAGCTTATATTCACCAGACTTGAAGCACAACAAATAATGGCACTAGAGCATTTTACCTGCCTGGTTATTAAGAGTCATAATCCCATAAAGGTTTTGAAGATAATTGTCTATAGAATATTATATACAGAACACCAAGGAGAAAAGTATGCAGGCTGTATTTTCAGGATGGAGCATTACACAATCTGACTTCCTGCTCCAGGACAATAACCTCATCTCTTGAATTTCTCAAAACTCAGATGTCAGAACTAGATACAGCAAGCTATTGGTAATCTCAGTGCTGCAATGAGCAGCAAGATCAGTTCTGAAACATAAGATGTAGGAAACAGCTAGTAAGGTTTTTGCAATTATCAACCCAATAATGTATTAAAAAAATATTAAAACTGAATAAACCTGAGGATGCATTATTAAAGGAACATTAAAGGTAAAGTAGGGAGCCAATATTCCTAGAAAGAGGAAGCCACAATAATACTGGAGTGGCTGGAAGACAAACTGTACAGTAAGTTTACAGAACTTTACACAAAACAAAGTTAAGAGATTACTTGATTAGTACACTATGGAAGAGAGGAGCGTGGGTGTCAGTATCACAAGCAAGCAAGACAGAAGTCAAAAGTTACACCAATTCAGCTTTTAGAACAGCAATTTCCTGTAAACTGAATAGCAGACCACACTAGATACAGATTCATCATAAGCAGTATTAACCAAAAAAAAAATCAGATTTGGGTTTTTTTTCCCTGGTTTGTGAAAAAAGTAAAGTGCATATATGCTGTGTAAGTGTTAGAGGGTGAAGTGGCTAGACTTCCTCTTTTATATAAAGGTGGAATGAGATTAAATTTATCGGCTTGTAGCTCTCAAGTCATGAAGTCCTGCTCCCACATTAGGACATGCTACACATCCAGAGTGGAAGTGTGCTTAATGGATGGACAGTAGAATAAGCCAAACCTACAGCTCTGGGAAAAAGTAACCTAGTTGGGAGGGATGAAATCACCTTCAGGACTGGCATCAGATCATCCTGCATGTCAGAAACAGCTCTATCCCAAAAGAAAGCAGTAGGATCCCAAGGGCAACTGTCATTTCCTCTCTGCAAACCAGATCTCCCACTTTGAGGCATGGTACAAGTTTTACAGTTGGAATTCATACAAAAAAAAAAAAAAAAAAAAATCTGAAAAAAATCTGTGTGATTTGTAGGTTCGGGGGTGTGGGGATTTTATTTAGTCAGGCCAGAATACAAGTTCTATGTAACCATTTTTGAGAGACAAAAACACCTGCAAATGATGGAGGCAAAGAAGGACAGAGAAACTGAGAATTAAAGAGTTTAAAAAAAAAGTTTTCCACCAACATTTCAACATAATGCATCTTTTCTATTAAGGAAATTCTAAGACAGTAAAAGAAATCAAGAAGTTTTAAAAAGTTGAGGTCATAATTATTATTTATCCAGACAGGATTGCAGTGGCATATAAAAAAAAGTGTTACACTTTAGATTCTGAACTGCTCATGACCTGCTGGATACAAGCTACACATTGGAGAATGGTAACACTACTTGCAATGCCATCACTGAGGGCTTGGGACTCAAACATCTTATAGCAGACTAAAACCTAGATTTTCCTGTTAGCAGAACTGCTGCTTTCTGCTCTTAAAAGCTAAGATTTTATCTGCACACTTCAAAAATCCATAATAAACTCTTTTTCTGCAACACAAACAACAGTGGGTAATTGTTACCCCAATACATAGTAACCTTAAATATGGGAAATTTACATTTTACTCAAGACTGTCCACCACTGTTCAGCTTCTAGAAGGGCCATAACCCCTTATGTAGATTTTAGGTTTGATATATTTCTATCAGTACAGCAAGAAACAGAACAAGAGATAGCACATCTAAACCATATTTTATGAAAAGAATATAGAATTACAAACAAATCCAAGAGATATTTTAAATAAGCACCTAAAAGCATGATAAATTGCCCTTAGATGTGACACCAAATCCTATTTCTGAGGGTTCAAAGAGCAGTTCTGAATATTTTTTTCTCCAAAAGTATTTATTGATTTTGTTTTAACTTAGGTAATCAGCTTAATAAAACTGGTTAAAGATTAAAGCACTCTGAGTCACAGAGTGCACTAGTTTCTGCACGGGCTCCAATAATGCGAAACAAACTCTACAACATAATAGATGTAATCAATTTATTAGTACAGTGACCAAAAAAAATTAAAATACCACAAGATAATTAGGTTACAGTCATTGTTTTTTCTTCCCTTGAAGAAAAAAAAAAATTACCTCTACAGAAAAGATCTTAATATCAGGTCCACGTAATTTCATCTGCTCTGGAAAATGCTGGAAAACATTCAAATATGGAATATGACCTTCAAAAACAAACCTGCATAAAAAAAAGACCAAATCAAAATAGTATTTAGCATGACAAATGAAAATGTTTATTCTAAAATTGTTATACAAATCAACTTCTGATTTGAAATAACGTAAGTATTACACTGCTTAAGCAATTCCATCTGAAATTATACCCCCCTAAATGCTCCATGGGACACAAACCAGTTCAATCATTTAACAGGCCTTTAAATTCAAACTCAAATATGATTGACAAATTAAAATGTTATGGCAGTAAGCTGACAATCAACACACACACAGTTTGTTCTGCACATTCTTTAGCTACTGCATTTCTGAAACTGCTTTAAGCCTCCTTTGAATGGTATGGAATTTTTTGTCAAAATTCTAAAGCTTTAAGAAAATTTTAAAACACACACTTTCTGCTAGAGGAGACCGAGTCGGGTAATGCAGTGGGGAAGAAAGTCACAGAACAATGAGCAGATACACAGAACTGAAACCCCATTGATTACATCTGTATTCTGATTTGTTTTTTAAGTGTTTTTTGGGTATGAATAGAAATTATTTTGTATACTAATAAACACAAAATAATTTATTTTTTATTTGCACCCAAACAATGCATTTTTCTTAAAAACTGGCTTTGCTAAGTGGCTGACAGTATTATCTGGGATTTTTCTTGACTTTTCCATATATGTATGTAAGTATATATATATAAAGATGGTAGCTAGCAACAGATACTAATAAAAGGCCACCACCACATCAAACCCCTTCTCTTAACTCATATTCACACTTGGGCAAAGCAAGCACTGAACAAGCATGGATCCTCACAACGAAGCAGACACTACTCCCAGTCCAGATTAAAGCATATTAGTGGCATCCCATAGGACTAAGCTAGAAGCACTTTAGTGGCTCCTCTTCTAAAACAATTTTATTAAAAAGAGTATATTAAACTTGAATAAAGTAATATTTCAAACAGAGAAGACCCTGTTCTTTACAGTATTAGAGATATGAAAACAATTTTCTCTCCTGCCTGCTGTGCTATCTGCGCAGTATCTCTCTGATCTTGCTACACTGACTAGTAACTTCTTGGTCTATGAACTCTGCAAGTCCCTCCTGGTTTCCTACAGCGGTTTTAAGGCTGGGCTCTGCATCTGCTCCCAACGCGGGGCAGTACCTAAAACTTCAATCGCTAGCTGGATCCAATCCTACAAGCTGAAAGACCAAGCTCCTCGAAGCACAGCAATCTGCCACCTTCATTCAAAATTTGTCTGAATGGGAAAAAAACAACCAACCAAACAAAAGCAAGGCAGAAGGATGTCTTCACAGAGCAGCTGCTGCTGTGGAAGATTCGCTTCCCTACTGAGCCTACACCAATCCTCAAGCTCACCTTCCCTCTCCCAGTCCAGGGACATGTTACATGTTATGTAGTGTGTATGTACTGAAGTTGACTAAAATGCTATTTAAAGGCTAATTACTGCAAAGTTTACAGTTACATCCTAATTTTTTTTAAAAATATACTTAACTGAATTTTCAGTTTCATTAAAAAATTGAATTCAAACCAGGATTAGAATGAAAAGCGCATTTTTAAATCAAAACTCTCTCAGTTAGAATTAACCCATCATTGATAATTATTTCTGAAAAATAACAGCAATCTGAAAAATAACATTGCCCAATACCTTTTATTCTGAAGCTCTGCATATTAGTCTTTTAAATGAAGAAGGAAAAGTAATTGCACAAGCCTTTCTAATCAAATTGTGTGCTGTACATTTTGCTAATGACATTTCAGTGGCTTTCCTGAGCCAGTGTAAAGAGCATTTCCCCACCCCAAGTGAAGATGTGCACTGGTCCACATACTCAGTGAGCTTATCCCCCAAACCCAGCCCCAGTTGCTTGTCCTTACCATCACACCTGATCTGCTGAGCAGCTTGCCTATCAGTTCCTTAGGTCATTTTAGTCAAGGTCATCTGCACTGAATTGGAGAACTTAAACGTGAGGTACGGTTTCACATAATGTATTGAACCAACCTAAAAGCTTAACATAACTACTAGTACTTCCCTTTTGGTGTGACTGCATGCTCCTGTTGCTCATCACCCTTTTCCACAAATGTAACTCACAACAGCAGTAAGACTACCTGTTACTCTTTTGCCAGAAAGAAGGGTTTCTCTCCTGTCATCTATCAAACTGAGAAGGCTTGCAGATGGCTCCAACAAGTGCAAGAGCTGAGAGAGGGAAGGGGATGTGCATCACACAGGCAGAATGATAGAAGAGAAGCGAGACCTTCCTCTTTCAGCAACAGTGACCCATTACTGACTCTGCTGATGATAAGCTTTGGCTGACACATGTTAAGGTGCAATGACATGTTTAGCTGTCATATCTGAAGAGCTGGTACCAAGACACCAAGAGCAGCAACCTCCTGAGCCAGCACAGCAACAGCTGGAACACAAACAATCAAGAGCTTCCTTCGGGTGTGGTGTAGTGGTGATTGCAGCCAAACCACCCTAACAGCTCGCTGCCTCTGAAATGGGGAATCCCACCCTCCCTTCAGTCCTCTGCCACACACCCTCCCTGCTGACAAAAGCACTTGTATGACTTCTCAGACAGAGGATTAGACTGAAAACTAGTCTTTTGTTTTCCAGGGTTTGACTTCAACCAGACAAATTTCTACTCAGCTGACTGCAGGAACATTATTGCCAGCACAAGGTGAAAAGGGGCTGCAATGAAGCAAATTAACCTGCGCTAAAATGTCCAGTGAAACTTCCTTTTGCAAAATTAGTTTTCTACAGATCTAATTCTTTCAACTAATCACTATGAACTGGATGAATGCTAGTACCCAGGGCAAAAGAAAGAGCAGGAATGTTTATGCAGGACCACAGCAACAGAAGCTCTGATCAACTTAAACTGATACTGGAACCACATCCTCACACTGCAAGAGACATCTCCATTAAAATGTTTTTGTTTTGTTTTTTTTTTTAAAAAAAGAGAAGTTTTCACTAACTTGGCTGTACCAAGTCAAAGCATTGCAACTGTTTAAAAAATAATGACATCTTTCCTAGCTTGAAATTACTTGTCTCCATACAAAAGAATGCTCTTCTCTCTCAGGTTGAGTTGTTTTTATGTTCTAAAAATACATGAAACAGCATAAATACCCTGTTATGAATATAATGTGCTGATGATTCAGGTTTTTAACACTTACTGCAAAAGCCCAAATTTGGAACAGCACTTCAGAACAGTTTCTTCTGTCTGCTGTTCTTCCAAACCTTTCATTTAACAGACAGATGATATAAACACTTGTAAAACTATGTTGTAACAGTGAAGTGCTTGAAAACTTGACTGGCAGATACAGTACACAGTCCATGTTCTTTTAATTACAGCAGCAGCATACATTAGTAAGGTCCAAGAATTAAAAAAATCCTAGGTCCTCTGCATGCTACGAGGAAATGATGCATCTGTTAAAAGCCACACTCTAATGCCACAAACTGATTACAAGTTTGGTCTTGCCAGCACAGGTAGGTATAACCTCATTTGAAAGGCATTACTTCTCAGAATCTCAGAGTCTAACATCTTTAAACTTTTTCCACAAGCCAACAATTTTATTCGTTATTTAGATAAATAATATACAGCATATGGAGTACTGTGAGACTATTCACAATAGAAAAGGATTTAATGTGTTGCATAGACTTAAATAGAAGGTTGTTAAAAATATAATTTTTAAACCAAAATGTCCCTGTCAGAGGAGGTAATTGTAGTGTTTTTCTGCTATGTGTGTCAAGTAGCAAGGAGGAGTGTATTTTTGGTGCTGTAAATCCTTTAAAAGCTGGCAGATTGCCCTAACATGGTGCCTAAGCATGTATCACAAGGGAGGAGTGGTAGTCAGCTGACTTCAGGGTAGGGAGAAAACCAAACTGAGGAAAAAACAAGGCAGAACTTTAAGCACAACTGTAATTCACCTGGTTTAAATAAAACAATTTGACTATAAAGATTTAAAAGGTATTGCTGAATACTTAAAATGTCTTCTCTGCATAGTTTTCATCTCTGGTCTGTTGCTATTTTGATCTGGGTATCTTAATGCATGCAAAAATGTGAACATTGTCTGATTTTTTAAACTTAAATATTCAGAAGTTAGAAAACAAGTGTTTTATGGTAGTTCATGCAATCTAAAATTCTTTTCTCTTCTTCATCAAACTTGTGAAAGGCAAAGACCTTAAGGGTAGGGAGGGAAGCATGATAATGTAATTATGTCCTTATATAACTATGGTATCATGGTGAAACTTTGCAATACAAATGACATTTTTTTAAACATAATTTTCTGCATTTAATTCAGTTCATATGTTCAGTGCATTTAAAGTCACTGAATCATTCCAATTTACCCACTTTTAAAAGTATTACACCCATAAATTGTAACTAATTAAATTATATCTTCTCATTCAAATCATCTTATTTTGGTTTCCAATTATTAGTTTCTGATTATGCCTTTCTGTGCTATATTTGGTACTTTTTTTTCTTCCCCTCTCCTTTTCCAGCTTTTTCTACTGTTTTCATGTTTCCTCTAAAACCTTTCAAGCAAATGTGAATTTGAACATTGAATGACTCGAGCGTGTCCAGAGAAGGGCAACGGAGCTGGTGCAGGGTCTGGAGCACAGGTCGTACGGGGAGCGGCTGAGGGAACTGGGGGGGTTTAGTCTGGAGAAGAGGAGGCTGAGGGGAGACCTCATCGCCCTCTACAGCTCCCTGAGAGGAGGGTGCAGAGAGCTGGGGATGAGTCTCTTTAACCAAGTAATAAGCAATTGAACAAGAGTTAATGGCCTCAAATTGCAACCAGAGAAGGTTTAGATTGGATATTAGGAAGCATTTCTTTCCAAAAGGGGTTGTTGGGCTTTGGACTGGGCTGCCCAGGGAGGTGGCGGAGTCAGGTCGACATAGCACTGAGGGATCTGGTGTAGTTGGGAACTGTCAATGTTAGGTTAATGGTTAGACTGGATGATCTTCAAGATCTTCTCCAACCTAGATGATTCTGTGATTCTACAAAATGTGCTCATCTCTTAAGGATCTCAGCACAAAGGATGTTCTCCAGCTTCTGAATCATTTTCCTGGATGTTTTCTGCAGTCTCCAAGTTTTAAAGTACCAAATACAACAATATACCATTAATATGCAAACAACACAAGCTACCTTTCCTCTTAACAGTTGATTTTGACAGCTGGATTTTTTTGTTGTTGTTTTTTTTTCAAACCACACCAACATAGTAAGACAGAAACTTGTGAGGATGTACTTGCCTCATATGACCCCACATGCTTTCCAGGGACAGTTTCCAAGATACAGTAACCAAAGAACAGATATTTAATGGTTCTTTTTTCTCTCCAAACAGGATGGGCTAAGCAATAAGTCTTTATTATGAACCATTTGCTCCGTCCCAGTAATTGTCATTTACTACTTGGATTTTTGCCATATACAAACATTATCAGACAGGATTTACATAGTTATTTTCTAATCATTGACAAAAATACAGAGTATGCTACAGTAGTTCTGACTCTGTTATTGAAAACTACTTCTTTCTACTATTTCTTAATCTACTCAATACATACTTCTGTATTGCATGATGCTAGTCTGAATTCTGAATACTGTGACATTTTTCTGAATATTTTACAAGATCTTTTATACCACAGCATATCCACTTATGCAAATATGCAATGGTTTGTGCAATTCTGATCAATGAAGGCAACAGTCACCCCCCTAAAGTTAAATTCAAAGGGTTGTTTTGCATAGCTATAAATTAGCTAGTACTCTGAGACATACAAACACTTATTTTTTTAACAATACTTGCAAAAGAGTGTTCTTCAACACCCTTTCTTCTCAGAAAGCTTGTACAGTTAGAAAAGCAGAGGTGGAAGTTCACGCTCCAGAGTGAGAGAGGCCATGATGGAAGATCAGGCTCTGGGGTAAACTTTCCTTGCATTTGTCACACTTACATGCACCACAGGTGGGGGATGATGTACTCACTGCCTTGCCTTTTAGCTCACAGGTTATATATTTGAAAAATAAAAATTAAAGAACTGAAATCTACCATATCAACTAAATTTTGAATCAGTTTTTATTTTGTGCAAATTTTCAATTTGATTTGGCAATGTACAGTTACTTGAGTCTTTCTGTTCCTTAAATTTTGTCAAAGTAACATTTTTTCACCATCTTTTTAGATATACCCAATATTGCAACACTTGTTAAAAAAGAGTATCAGTATACAAAAGGCCTTTCAAGGAAAATCTAAGAAGTCCTGAATTTATTTATTATTTGGGCCTGATTGAAAATATTTTCTGCTAACAAGAAAAACTGATGAATTATTTTTCATTCCTTAAGCAAATCAGTAATGTGTTCATAGCCTTGTTGTAGGGGGCAGAAGGGAACTGCATTGTCAGCAGTAGTTTACAGTCTCCATTTAGCATCAAACCCTATTATTAGAACATTTCTACTATATTAAAAGCTGTATTATTCTGAAATCTGATAATTACGAAGATATGAAGACAAAAAAGGACTTCCTATTTTAATTTCTGTGTCCAACACCATTGCGTGAAGCTACTTAGCTACTTAGCTTTCAGATCCCTATATACCGCTGGTATTGTCTGTATGATGACACTGATGTAAGACCTGGAGAATGTTTACTCATTTAATTCTGGCATGCTGACAACAGCAAATATAGCAAAAGTGTGGCCATAACACACCTCCCGTGATTCTTAAGAAATTTTGAAGGAGAAGGATAAAAAGCTGCTTTAGCTCCAAAACCTTGTCCAAGATTAACTGCAATCAACAGAGAAGAACATTCTCTCAGGAATTGTTATGTCAAAGAAAAGATGACAAATATAGAGAACTTCTCACTATTACTGAGCAAGTTAGTAAGAGGGCAATAGCAAGGTCTAATTTTTAAAAAATGTATTATTTATAAAAGCTTTCACTAGAGGATATTCATACCTTAAGAGCTCAGATAATGTCATTGTTTCTCTCATCCAGAGTAATGCCATGTAACAAAACGAAAGGGTCATTGGCATCGTCATTCTCAGTTTCTCCTTAGGCTTCTTCATTAAATACAAGCTACCATCTACTGATCCAGAGCGAGAGTGCACTGAGGTGCTTTCTTGGGTTTATGTTAAAAACAGAAAAGGAAAAAAAAAAGTAATTGATATGATATTACACACAATCCGTTGCATACAGAAAACAAGACAAAGGAACATACAAGGACCCTTCTTCAGCAGCTAGTAACATTTTGAAATCATTACTTTGAGTAGTTTGGTAGTTTGTGTACTTTTCTGCTAAACAACTTAGCTCTAATTTATTTATCTATCACAGTATGACAACCTGTTTCATAAACTGCTACTTCACTTGACTAAGACACTGGATCATATGAGGAGACAAAACTCCCTCCATTACACATCAAAACAGACCTTTTGTTGGGAACTACCCTTAAACCCAGAGTTCCAGAAGGGCACTAACTGCTATACAACGTGTAACTAGCAGCACTTAGGAGCTGGAAATACTATTTTTCATTTGAAAGATAAGGGAACAGTGTGGAAACAAGGGAAAATTTGACGTACTTAAAGTAATGCCTCGGAGTTGGGGATTAAAACACAAAGTTTTAAACTTCAGCACAGTCAGGACTTCAATGAGAAAATTATTTACATTGCAGAAATTTCACTGAGGTTAAGGTGTGTATCCATCTGCCATGTAATCTCTAACTGTGGAAACACAGGTATTCTTTTAAAAAACTTATATAAATTCAATGACAAAGAAACACCTTCAAAATAAAAATGTAGCAAATGGTGAAGAGGGTGAAAAAAAACCCACAAACAAACAGACCTCCCTACTTCCTTACTGAGATGAATCACTAAAAACTAAGAGAAGCAACAATGAGAAATTTAATTTAGTAGAGTGATTTATAAGTTAGCAACCTATTCAGCAGTGAAACCTGGGAATTCAGGAAAGGAAGAAGGAAAAAAATAAAAGCCTCTCTTCCCTACATCATAACCCAGCCAAGAGGGATGAAAATGTGTTTAAAGCACATCAGCACAGTACATCAACATCGATTCTGTAGAGATTTTCTGTTTCCCCACAGACTGTTCACCTGTTCAGACAGGAACAGCAAGGGTTGGATCCACAGCTCCCCAGCTGGGAGCTGCAGGGCCATGGCAAGCAGCCTGCAGAAAACAGTTTTAAATCATCAGAGAGTTTGGCAGCTCCATGGTTATGCTGGCAGGTGACAGCCAAACCTGTAAGGTGACAGTGGTCAGCGGTAGAGGTCCAGCACCCACTGATTCACAGTACGCAGAAACTGAATATTGTGTTCCTGAGCCAGAACTGGTCTTTGATGCCACCTACCGGCCCCTAAAACAGCGGCCAGTAGCACTAAGGACACAGCAAGGGGTTAAAAGAACCGTCTCAGACATACACCTGATACAGACTAAGACATGGTCTAGATGAGAGCATCCTGAGAGGTCTATCACGTATAGGTGTGTCAGGGAACAAAAGCTGCAACATCAGTTAATCCTTTTAGTCAACAGTTTCACCTTTTACATGAATACTTGTGCTTAAAGACAGCTTCACAACTGAAGCTTCATTATTAATTTCACATTCAACTCAATTTAAAATAATCCTCATTATATTTGTAGCCTTAATAATGGCACACAATTTCCTTTTATTTCTTCCAGGTTATGCAATGCATGACAACACACAGTTACACACATCTAATAATTTAAGAGTTTAATAGGCTTCTCTAGCAATATCTCAGTGCTATACTCAGTGGAATTTGCTATTAGCCCTATACAAAAATAACAAAAAAAGAAAAAAAATGCTTGCCAGTTAGACAAGCCTCTTATGAAAAAAAGGGTGTTGAGGTTCCAGTCTGTAGCAATAACACCTCAGTAAAAACAGCACAGAAAAGGAAACCTATGAATCTTCACAAGAAATTAACTAGAACACATTTAGTATTATTTGTGTTAAATTTCAATATACAAACCTATTTCTGTTTGCTCAATTTCACCAAAACTTTACTTTTAGTGTCACTGAACTCTTAATTTCAAATGCTTTTAGTGAAATGACTACTTAAACCTGCATTCAATCTCTGAAACAACAGACCAAGAACACATTAAATTATGGCATATCTTATCTAGCTTTCTAAAACTCTAAGAAACATAACTATAAAAAGCACAAGTACAAAGGGAGAAAGGAGTTCCTCTAGACATCAAAAAGAGGAAGAAAATTCAATGGAATATTTTCACTAGAAATTTTTCACTCAATTCTTTCCTCTTCATATATTATATACTTCTGCAACACCCAAAATCTGCTACAGGTACAAACATACAGGGACTCCTTACCTGAAAATGTTGTCATTTTAATATATAAGGATGAAAGGTACTTGCGCTATATTAAAAAAAACTTGTGTCACCATTTTTGCCCCTTTTTCCCCTCTCTAATTCTGTTTGGATTTTTAAAAATATCCTTTGTTTTTTAATTGCTCCAGATCAAGTTTCTCATTCTATTACCACTTCTGGATTTTACGAAATAAAGATAAAAACATGAAAGAACAAGACTGCATTCTTCTGAGGGTAGAAGGCAATACCATAGAAGAACAAAAATGGGACATACAAGAGGATAGTATGTAACAGGGGAAAAAGAAACACTGAAACAGACAAAGAAGGAAAAGGCAAGCCAAGAATAAAGCAAAAAAGAGAAACCAGCAGAAGTTTAAAACGCAAACATAAGCTTTCAAATGTGCCTTGAAATGCACTTGTAATATCAGATGTTGCAGCATTGTCAGGCATTAGTTGCCCAGTAGCAGCAAGCACTCCAATTTTCTATAACATTTTAATTTAAATGTTTAGCATTCTGTAACTATTTTCAAGTTGATATTGTGAACAGAAAGGAGAAAATGATGCAATGCTAAAAGAAGACTTTGATAGAAGGGGTTATAGTGAAAGCAGTAAAAAGAATGCAGAGACAGAAGATAAAGAAATAGCAAAGATACTCTAAGGAAAAAATTAGAAAGCTAAATATATCTATGGGATAGGGAAAAAAATATTCCCCCCTCAGAGAACAAACTCATGTCTTTTAACATCAAAGTCATGACTGACAGCTCTACTATTGGCTTAAAAAGTGCTTATTCTTTAAGGCTGCTGTGTTTGAGAACATCTAGCTCTGCAGATACAATAGCAACTTTTTACCACTCCAAACAGAAGGAATGGAACAAACTCACGATAAAATAAAACTCCCTTCTGCATTTCTCAATATATTTTCAAGTCCTGTTCAACCTTCATCTCCTTGAGTGGAGGCTGCGGGGAAATTCTTTTATTTTCAGTAGAATATAAAGTACTCTAGTAGCAAACAGGACTGAAAACTTCACACTTTCCAACCAGTTCCTCCAATTCATTGTACATGAATACACTTTACATGTGTTTATTTATATTAAAAAACAAAAAAGTTTTCTATAAAGTTCAGTTCATTGCTCCTACCTGAGACCTTGCTAGTTGATGAGACAAAGCTGCGATCAGTCTGTAGATCCCCCTCACTCTCAGAGAGAGACGAGTAAAGTCTCTCTGGGTCACTGTCCACATCAGTACTGCTATCACATACCTGTTTTTTGTAAATAAGTCATTGTATTATCTACTGCCAGTTACTGTTCCAATCTTAAGAAACCAAATAAAGCATGATAAATACAAGGTCAACAGTAAACAAAGTTTAAGCTCAAACTATTCACATTCTTACTCTCTCTGTGAATCACCAGTACATAAAGAAATGCTGCAAAAAGTATTTTTAAAGGATTTCTCAAGATAAAAAGACTGGTAGTTATTACATTACATTTCAACCTGCTACAAGGACCAGAAAACTGAGAATACAGAGAATCAAAGTTTGATGAAATAAGTAACTTCAAGACAGCAGGCAGGAAAGGATGGTAGTTGATGACGCATTTTGTATTTTAAATTCTGCTCTATCTACTGACTATCTGTGCTAAGACAAAGCATTGTTTTTAAGTAAGCACTTTTCCACATTTGGAGTAATAGGAAAAAAAGGAACAACAAAATGGACATGTGGAACCCTGTTTAGAAGACATGTTTCATACTGAAGTGACATTAATGCAAGCTAGATATGTGGCTTGAACAAAGAAGGTTTCTGTTGCTGCTTTTTGAAAAGATACCCAACATCTCAGGGGATTTAATCTTTTCACTTACTGGTTCGGCAGTTTCTCCAGCTGGTCTGTCGAAGTATGCCTGTTTGGTCTTCTGAAGGTAACGCCTCCAAAAATTCCACAGAACTTCATCCTGATACATACAAATGGATAGTGATTAGTACAAAGTTTACAAGATCATTAACTGCTGAGAGAACAGAGAGTAATGTTCCAGCTCAAATTTTACTAACTGTGATTTATAAACTATGTTTTAAAATTAGCAAGTTTGTTTTCATATGCTCAATGTTTTTAAACAATGAATTGTTCAATTCACTTTAAAAATTACAATCTTTTAAAATAATTCCTGTAAATAACATACAGTGTGTACAACTCACACTGACATCGACATACCTTAATTTGTGGACATACTCCTAACGCTTGCAAAGCTTCAGCTTGTTTCCTGAGTACAAGCTGAAAGCCTTCACAAACATACCATTCACAGCCTCCATCTAAGTAAAAAGAAAAAAAAAAAGTGTTTTTTGGTACTGTTTTGGGGTTTTTTTTAACCTTATGCACACATATTTGCACTTTATGTTCTGTTCTCTTGGTATCAGGACAGACACAGGTGTCTCTAATTAGTAATTTCAGATCCTAGAGCACAGACCAGCTACACTGAATACTCAATCATTAACTTCCATTTATTCAGTCTTAATCAAGAAGAAAGCACTGAACAAGCACTGTTCTCCACACAATTTCCCCAAGAATAATACATTTCACTATAACTGCTAGTGTGGCATTTGTATTCAAGTGGAGAGTTAAGTGACTAGTTTTAAAATAACTGAAAACCTGTCATTAAAAAATGAAATACAAACATTTCTTTCCCATCCCTGGCACAGAAAACTGGAACACATTATGGTGGTGAGTCAGGCAAAAACCAACCAGTATCACCATGTTCTTCACCACTCTCTCCCACAGAATTGTATATATTTAAATGAAATAAACTTTCTTAGATATTCCAAGCTTCTAGCAAATCTCAGCACCCCATGAATTTCATGAGTGGGCCTGCTCCCATCTATTCACTATCCCCTCAGACTACACTTCATTTAGTTTTCACCCTTACCTCTCTATATTTACAACTCCTTTTCTACAGGCTTTTGGTTTTAGAAATTTTCTCTGTGCTTCTCAACTTCCTTTTCATTCCCTCCACACCTGTTCTTCATTATTTTTCCTGCCAATCACACCTTGCATCTCACCATCTTAGAAGTTATCTGCCCAAAGCTTCTGCCCTGCTTTAATGATGTTGGCTTTAACTGTTAACCACAGATACAGCTTACTCCTATAAAAGTATGAAAATAAGCTGCCATAGTAAAGTGTAACTGCACTCATAGAATGGACTGTGTGAAGCTAAGGATTTCTTTCTTAAGAAGCCTGGAGGATGGCTAATGACCCTCCCAACAGGAGAAATAAAAAGCACGAAGAGTACACAGTTCAGATTTTAGGAGCAATACAAGACAATGACAAGTGGAGATGTTAAGGCTGTTCCCCTTTTCACTCCTCCCTTCACTTCCACACAATTGTTCTTTCCAAGCGAATGCAGTAATCCACTGCCACTGCAGCGGAGCGAAGATAGGTCAGCATATGAGAGACAAAGATAACCCCATGCTTCATTTAGCATTGTAATGCATTTTTGCTTTTTGAAAGTGGCCACAACAGTAAAACATCTATCCAGCCATCACAGTATATATACATAGCTCCAGCACCAGCCTTATCATAACATCCTTATGGCATATATTGTCATACGTAATGACTACTATTCTTCTGAATCATTAAAGTATAGAACTGACTCCAGTTGACAGATGTAATATTGGTTTAGCTACTGTAACTACGTGGAATCTATTCCATGTAGGTTTGTGTCTAGGTTACAGGTGCAAGTATCTGTAACACAAGCCAAACCAACATTCTAACAGCTGGACCATTGTCACATCTCACTTGTGAAGACAGACAACTTTTCTGGTTTTGTGATAGCCATCACAAGGAAGGAACAAACACCACATCTGAATGTGTGCCACCAGTATCTTCAGTGAATATTGGCTTCCATAAATCAAAGCAGCAATAAGTCAGATAGAGCTCTGTTCAACCCAAGAAAATCTACCACCAGGCTCACAGAGGTCACCTGTGGCTCAGAAAGTCACCAAAAGTGACTGCTGAAGCTTGCAACAGCATTTGGAGGGTGTATTTTGTTGTGTATTTTGTTCCCGCTTTTACAGTCTTTCCTAGCTATCTGCTTTTGGTCACCATCAAAGACATAATGGGTTAGGTGAACCCTGGCTGAACAGCCACTCATGTGAAATAGAGAAACTCATACATACCATTTTTTTCCTGCTTTTTTAAACTTTTGGAGACTGTCTGGATTTTTATATTAGAAGCAAAATCAGTGTTTGCAACTTCTGTAATTTTCTGCAAAATAAAAATATATCTTAGCAAGAAAAAAAGCCAGGACTAACTTGCATAGATTGCCCCATCATAAAACATAACGGAGGAACTTACTCAAATTTCCTAAAGTAAATGGAGGACAACATTCTGAACTTTTCATCAAGAAGTTGCAAAACCAGAAAATAACTATCCTGGACATACAGTGATGTGTAGTATCAGGGTTTCCTACACTGGTACTGTACTAGTGTGCAGCAATACCCAGGCAATACTTCTAAGGCACCTAGACAGCATGCCGGGACTCCAGCTGCAGCAACTCAGCATCTAAAGATGGGTCATTTTAAATTCTGTGATTTAAAGGAACATTTTTTTTAAACAATATGAGGAAACAGGAAGAATCACAATACTGCCTTCAACTCCTAATGCCAAGGAGAAAAATCTCACATTTTCTTGATACAAAAGCAAGAAGCAAGCAACATAAATCCTTTCCAAGGCCAGTAACTTAGATTTTTACCTCAGTAACATTGTGGCAAGATCTGCAATAAAATCTGCCTCCATCAGTGAGACCCCAGTTCACTTCTGAACATTGGGCACAGCGTTCATTAAAATCTCTCTAAAGGGGAAAAAAAAATAAAAGAGTTTCACATGTTCAAGTAAAACCAATGGCACAATTACTAGGTTACTACATAGCTTTTGAGACTGTTCGGAGGAGAGTACTTATGCCTTTTATGTTATCTCTGGGTGATAACAAGTAATCACAGCAGTTGCTATCAGTCATAGATAACCGTGAACACATAATTTCAGCTGGCAAGCATCAACTCTCGAGTATGTGAACATTAGAACAAGGGGAATAATAATCCACACCTAGCGCGCACATGACATGGCTTGGAAAAAAACACCCATCAGAAATGGAAGCAGAAACAAGAAGTACAGGGCAGAAGATAAAAACAAAAATAAATTTCTAGAACTACGAAGAAACATTTGCCGTGGAAGAAAGCCCGCACAAGTCGGCGAGAAGATGTGCCAGGAAAAAGGGAGACTTCCCGGAGAAACCAGAGGAGGGAAGAGAAAAGAGGAAACCAACAGATTATTTTAAAGTTTTTCTCAGAAGCAGCCCACACGAGCGTGCCGGCCCCCGCCCGGGACAAAGCACCCGCCGCCGCCGGCCGCCGAGCAC